ATTGCAGTACCTGGTGCCATTGCTGATATTGGGCCTTGCATTTGCTCTGCAGTACTATGGCAAACAAAACAAGTCCACTGAATCAGAAAATTGAATATGAGCTGTGGCCATAGTTTTAGTGCATCTATTATCAAAGTCTATATCAAAAGTCTCCTGGTGGTAATAAAGTGGCGGCAGTGTTGTTTCTTTTTCTTTTTCCTTTTCCTTTTTTCTGGGTATCATTTAAAAGTATTTTTCTCTCTCAATTATCATGCTGGGATTAATTTTGTTTCCTTGATTTGCTATGGCCTCTTTCTCAGTTATGCTAGTTGCTCATTTGGGATTATCTCATGAATAATATTTTGAAATATATTCTATTAAACATAGTAACTGGAGTGCAGATTATTGTATTATGTGTTGTGTTTCATGTTTAAATTCTGTGGCCCCTGGCCAGTTTTTAGGTTAAAAAGATCGAATCATTTAATAGCCAGTAAACCACTTAGAAAGTAGAACAAAACAACTGTCTTTTTTTGGGAATGGCCTTTATGTTGACGAATTATTGAAAGTTGTGTGTGTTCAATAGATAATAAATACATGAGACATGGTTAAAAAAAAAAGAACTGTTAACACTAAAAAGAGATTACAACAGTTTTCTGATAAAAACTTAATCTGGGAAAATTCACCCAGATCCTTTTTGTTTGCTTGATAAGCTAAGTAAGCAGATCTAGCCGTGTTATAAACATTATTGTTCTTGGGTTATAATTTCTGTTTAATTAGACGTATTTAGCCTGTATGAGGGCTTATTATATATATATATATATATATATATATAATATATATAATATATATATAATATAATATAAACTTAGCTTTCTTTTTTAAAAGCGACAAACCAAGATTTTTTAAAGCTAGAAACTTTGTTTTTATACAAAATCATTAAAAGTTTTAGCATTAATGGTCGTAGTAGGTTGTAAACAAACCATCAATGTACCCTTTATGATTTTTTAGCACCCCTTTTCCTAGATATAGATATGTTGCACATTACTATAAGTAATTTTCATTAAAACAAATACAACGAACAGCAAGATAAGTTTGAGAGCTAATATTCTTCCTCCAACCATCCACACTCAATTCTATTAATCACGTCATTTTGGCCAGAGAACTTGGTTCGATGAATAAATCTCTTCCATAGACCACTCTTTCTTTGTTTTTACCAAAAGAAGAAGAAAAAAAAAGGGTAAAATTTGACATATTTGATAAATGAAAATTAATTTTTGATAATCATGCTGTATCCGTTGTAGACCCGTTATAATTACTTGAAAAGTGACAATAGAGGTATAGATAGATGAAAGAGTATAAAGTTTAAGATTCGGTCCCCCACTGAGTGAATTCCAATGACAAAATGTGTCATTTAGGCGTAGACATCATTGGACCCATGTTCCTCTGTGAGCTAGAGGGCCAATAACCCAAAACGCAAAATCGTTGTTTGTCCCACTTTGTTTGGCCCAAATTTGTGCCAAACGACCCACGAACCATTTTGTCCCGTTGTTATGTTGTCAATTGCATATTTGAGCTCACTTCTTATTTCACCTTTCTTTTCCCAACAACGTAATCTACCTTCCTCTTTTTGTTTTTTTATCAGTAAATTTTTTCCTACTCCTTCTTCTTTTTCCATCATGCAAAAGTATAAACTATAAAGTATAGATGAATATGCCACCAGATATTTTTTTTCGTGAATGGCAGGAAAGGATAAAGACTCAAGCTTCAAACTCGTGTCACTGTCATTCATATTTCATAGGCTTTCGGTAGTATAAGATTTTTTTTTATTTTTTTTTCATGTCTTTGGACAAATCTTTACAAGCAAAAAGGCTAGGGTAAATTCTTTATAACTTTTTAGCTACCACTTTTTTTATATTGAAAAAATAGTGTTCGTTTTATACCCATACGCTCGTTAAATGATTTTGTTAATTTAATCCATATGTTGCCGAGTCATGCGACCAGCTTTATTATTGAAAATGTTGAAAGTGACACAATTCAAACCATTAAAAACCAATAAATGTGTAACAAATGTATTTCATTCTAATGTTTGTTCCCATACATTAATTGGTGTTCTTATCAATAATGTCAGTTTGCAAGAGTCTGGTAGATAGTGGTTTCTCTAAAATATCATTATTCTTACTTTAGTAAAAGCTTATATATTACATAAAAAATATTATCAACTGATACTACATATTTATTAGTACCTTTCAGTATTTGTCCTTTTCTCTTTCAGCAACATAGATTTCTATTGAAGAAGTCTAAGAAAACATACTCTATTCGAGAGATAGAATTCGTGTATATTCTATTCAAATGTACTCATACAATAAAGGTAAAGTTCTCACTCAAAAAAAGAAAAAAAAATTATTAAATATTAAGCCTGACTTTCGCCAAAATTTTAAGATTGAATTTTATAGAGTCTATCATTTACACACATGGTTGTCTTTTTCTAAGGATTTCTTCATTTTTATGAAGTTTGATAGATCATAAGTTCTAACCAAACATATATTCATTTCTTTCTTTAATCAATTTGTCTATAGAAATGTCGTCCAAATATTACAAATTCCTAACTCATCTCTTGAACCTACACTGTATATGATTCTTCTCACACCTCATATGAGAACTTACAATTAAAGAAAAAAAATGCATTAATGATTCCACTTGTATCTAGTAAAAAGAATGAAGATTGTTTTCTCTTTCCTCTAGGTTCATTTTGGAAATGCTCTCTTTACTTATATGTTGTCCATAATAGCTATGTGTGTATATATTAGCAAATATTGATGGCATATTACATTTCCAATAGCTTAAGTAAAAATTTATTAGTAATCAAATATTGACTCAACACAAAGACATGTATTATTAGATGTATATCTTTCATTGATTGCTTGTTTTCACACCCATTTGTCAACAGTAAACAATGTTGGATAAAGTTCATCAATAAATGTTTCTAATCCATCTACGTTCCAATTTATCATGTCTTTAAG